CCTCTCCTCGTCCATTGCATACCACCCACTCAGGGCTCCTTTCCTTTCTCAAACAAGTCCCTTGCCAAAGGTACTTCGCACTTCCTGCTCCCCCCACATGTGTGCAGCTCAGGCCTTCATTTCACTGAGGTCTCTGATAATACGTCCTCTCCAAAACCATCTCTTATTTTTCTTATAATCTTTGATGTCTGACATGAACAACATATGCATCTGTTTGCTGCCTGTCTCCCCAGAGTCAGATATCCAGCCTGCTCAGAGTCTACACAGAAATAAGTTCCATAAAAGCTTAGCTTACAATAATTAGCCGTTAGGTTAATAGTACAAAAGGATGTAGTCCCACTATATTCACTGTTTCCACCCCAAAACCTACAACATAACATGTCATGAACATCAGTGCTTTAAGAATCAATCAATCCACTGACATAGGAAATCAAAAATAGTTTTTAACATTTAGTAAGCCCATACCGTGAGTCAGGCACAACAACCTATCAAATAGGTACATCAAGAAAGCAGAAACCTTTCTTACTCAGGTGCTCTCAGAATTCTAGAATCCCAAAGAACTCCCCACCCCCGTGTTTTCACATCCATTTTACAAATGAGCAAACAACTCCACAGAGAAGAGATGAAGACAGAACTAGTACCAATGAGGCTGGAGCCCTTATTAAAAACAAGGGGTGAGAAAAAATAAAAAGGAAATGCACACTTGTGTTATGCAAACATTAATTTTGCACATGCTCAAATACTTTCTTCACTTTCCCTGACAGTTACAAGTAGCAGACTAATGAGACCAAACGGGCCAAAGGACATTTATTCAACACTCTTCTGACAGAAGTTCCAGTTCACTCCACTTTTCTTCCTAAGAAAACTGAATAGGCTCAGGGCCTGTGGCTCAAGTGGCTAAGGCACCAGCCACATACACCAAAGGTGGCGAGTTCGAATCCAGCCCAGGCCCGCCAAACAACGATGGCTGCAACCAAAAAAAAAATAGCCAGGCGTTGTAGCCAGTGCCTGTGGTCCCAGCTACTTGGGAGGGTGAGGCAGGAGACTCGCTTGAGCACAGGAGTTGGAGGTTGCTGTGAGCTGTGATGCCATGGCACTCTACCCAGGGGGCCAGCTTGAGGCTCTGTCTCAAATAAAAGAAAAGAAAAGAAAACGGAATAAAATGGAAGACCTTGATCTAGAATTCTAGGGAGCACTCCAGGAAGACTACTCTTCAGGTGATTCTTATCTACAACCAGATGACCTTTACAGGATCCATTCCGTTCAAACCAGAGATCCTACAATTTTGAATAGAAAAGTCGTTAGCTTAATAGTACAGAGAGAGGTTTATATATTCTTTTTCCTCTGAGCCATGAATGTCTGCAGAGATATGAAAGAGAGGAGCGAGGAACTGAGTGTGTGCTACTGAAAAATGTTTAATTCAAGGAACGAAGGAGGTTAGATAAGAGGAAGTGATAGTAACAGTCTAGGGCAGTAGCTATGCATACCTCGCCCAGATGTCTGTTAAGAATGGAGACGCTCAGGCCCAAATCCAGACCTAATAAAACAGGCTCTGCATTTTAACATCCCCGGATGATTGGTATGCGTGGGTCTGCGTCACTACTTCTCAATGCAACATAAGCATCACCTGAAGAGTTTAATAATTAGACACCTGGGTCCCATCTCTATGCAATTCCGATTTCCTGGGCCCTGGGTGGGGCTATACTTTTAACAAGGTCTTAAGTAATCCTGACATAACTGCTCCGAGGCCAACGGCTCACAAGTCCCGGCCCCAAAAAGACCTCTCCGAGGTCATCTTATTCACTAATTCACCCACTCATCCAGTCTGGGCCTTCCCAGGCTATTCTAGCTAAACAGCCTCCATTAAGCCGCACTACTGTTTTATTTCCTTCCTAACACCCGTGACAGGTGCAAGTTATCTTGGGAGCTCGCCGTCTCCCCAAACCCCACTAGAACGCGAACTCCAAGGCAGCAACGACCACCTGTCTCTCACCCTGCTCACCCCCAATCCCCTTCCATCGCTGGGTGTCATAACAAGTGGCTTTTTTTTTTTTTTTGAGACAGAATCTCAGTTTGTCGCCCGAGTGCCGTGGCGTCGCAGCTCACGGCAACCTCCAACTCTTGGGCTTAAGCGATTCTCTAGCCGCAGCCTCCCGAGTAGCTGGGACCGCAGGCGCCGCCACTGCGCCCGGCTATTTTTTTTGGTTGCAGTTGTCATTGTTGTTTGGCAGGCCTGGGCCGGGTTCGAACCCGCCAGCCACCGAGCTACGCACCGAGCCAACCAGTGGCATCTCAGAGGGCGCCTAGTTACCCAGGGGCAGGTGCTGGGAGCGCCACGGAGACGCCAGGGCCAAGGACGCAGGGGCCAGGGCGAACTCCGTCGCTCTGCTCCTTCCTTCTGGCCCGCGGCCCCCCAGTCTGCGAAGAGGACCCCCCAGCCGGCCGCCCCTCGTCCCTGCTGCCCTCGTCCGCCACACAGGGTTAGCACCCCCCGCACCCAGCCCAGTCCACCTGCCGGGTCCAACCTCAGATCCAAGTCCCGGAGTCCTCTCAGCTCTCAGCCGTTAGGATTCAAAGACTCTTCTTTTTAAATAGGAGTTAAACCCTCTAACCCGAAAGCTGATTGGTCTGAGCTAGAGAGAGGTTGCCTTATGATTGGTTCACCAGGTGGCCGACGGCGGGAGACACGTTCCGACGCGCAGACCGGGCGCAGGCGCACTGGCTCCCTACGACCCCGGAAGTGGTGGAGTCAACGGTTCGACAGACCCGTGACGGTTTTAGAGCCCGCGGTGTTCTCCGAGATCAGGCATTTGTCCGTGAGACAACACCTCCTTGACGTCAGCGTTGTCCCATAGGAGGTAAAGTCGAAGGAGGTGAACGAACCTTTTGAACATGCCAGTAAGATGGCGAGAAGGGCGAGAGAGAGTAGGACCTATCGATAGCGCAGCGCTCGGCGTGGCACCCTGTGCGCGTGCGCAGTAAACGTGCACTTGGAGCGATCGATTGGGCAGGCTTCGTGCCTCCATTTTTCTGGGAGCGAGCGGGAGACCGAGGGAGCGGGACTAGCTGGTACTGGGGTCTGGGCGGACGGGGAGAGTGGCTGGTGCGGTCGGCTGGGGCCTTTAGAAGACCACAGAAAGGGCTGGAGCGAAGCGGGTAGAGTGGGGAGTCAGCGGGGGGCGTACGCCCGGAATTGGGGTCCCCCGAGTTGCCGGGCTTGGCCTGCACGCCCCTTTCCTTTCCTCGGAAGGCCTCGCGCCCATCCCACCCGGTCCTCAGTTCCCCTCCGCGCCTGCTGTGAGGTGGAGTCTGTGTTCTCGCCCTGGTGCCCTCCATCTCCGTCCGAGTTGTCCCGGGCCGGGTGCTCGTCCTCGCGTTTCGGGGTCCTGGCCTGCAAATTGGGGATGGTAATTAATTAGGCTTCTGCTAGCCCGGCGAGTGAACGTTCTATGGGAGTTGAAGTGGGGGCTGGATCACGTTTTTAAAACTATCATTGTACACCCCGTGGTGTACCGGCAAGAATGAAAAGACCAGATGGAAGAGTGGCAGGGGGAGTGAAAAATGGTTCCCCTCCATGCTTCTAAGTTCCTTGTCATGGCCACAAATTAAGTTGGCATACCGTAAATTAACTGTTAAGTAAGTTACTGGAGGTTAAGCAAGGTGGTGCACCAAGCATTGATCGCAGTGCCTGACATAGAAAAATTAATCGAGTTAAGTTGGTCGATATTTACAGTAGAACTTGTAGGTTATTTTTCAGCAATTTTTATTCTTTTTATTCTAACCTAGAACCTTTTCGTTTCTTCTGTTTATTAAGCTTTGTCTATAGGGGGAAAAATCTTTACGTACAAGAGTCCCACAAAATATGAGACTCTTAAGTGTCAAATGACTGAAGCTTGTACAGCATCCTGAGCTAGGAAAAGGAATAGGGGCTTCTCTGGCAGTGTGAACACTAGTTTTGAGAGGGTGAGGGGAGGAAATGTACGGTGAATAAAGGCGGGTTTTTTAATGCAGATAAAGACTCTCTCTGGTACATAAAAGCTGTCTCAGAGCAGCCCTCAAAAGAATAGGTAGTCAGCTCTATGGGTGATGTCAACACTTGCCTGGGTGATTTGGTTTTTTTGGAGGATTCAACTTCAGACAGATGAGAGGTGCTCAGAGAAAGCCTCCACCTGCATTCTGTTCCCTAGATATCTTCAATTCGAGGTAATCAAGATACCAAAGCATCTTATTTTGAGTTGGTGGTTCCTGAACTCCTTCAGTGGTTAAGTTCTGGGCTCTGGAGTGGGCAGTTCTGGCGGTCACGTTAACTAGATGAGTTACACAGCCACAGTTTCCTTGAGTAGGTGTCCTAAGCTCTTTGAGCTGGCCTCATCATCTTTATTGTGTCCCAGTGTTGTCTGCACAAGTGCAGATTTATGTACCTTTGCTTGTACATATATTCAAATACCTTGAATGATATTATCCGATAAGCTAATGCTTATAAGGTGCTTAGCACGGTATCTGGCATATGGGATGTGCTTAGTAAGTGTTGACTATTACAATTACCACCTATTGGTATTGCCCAGGGTGTAAGCAGTCAAGCTCTGAGGTCACTTTTATTATTTGTTGCTGTCCCAGACATATGTAGCCTTCTAATGTCTGTCCAAACATACTCATACATATAGACATTGATTTTTGATAAATTATTCAGTCATGCCCACCAATTACAGTTCTTTTTTCACAAACCAGATACTATCATTGACAGGTTTCTGTTGCACTTTCTAAGACTGAAGGAGAACTTAGATGCTTGTAAATCAATGAGTGTGCAGTACTTCCAAATTTTTACATTTTTTCCCCCATTTTTGATACTGTTTTGACCCTATCTTACTTGGCATTTTATTAAGTAGTTCACCTTTGAATCTTTCCAATGCGTTCAACTTGGTGTGCTTTTCATAGTCCAGTAGCATTTTTTGCCCTCATATTTTGATTTACTAACTAAATGATGTAATTACAGTAAGAAGCTCAATTGCTATTAAATAGGTTTTAAGAATGAACATAACAGACATTAGTAAGCATACAAGTCAGCTAGTGGAACAGTAGTCTGGATGTCAGCAGAATAGCAGCTGTCATGCATTTTGGAAATACCAGTCAGTGTTTAATTAACAGAAGAAATAGATTGTTCTGGGATAGCAATAAAGAATAAAAAGTACCTGGGGTAGTTTGGCAGAGAAGAAAAGTTGATAAGGGATTCTCCTGTAAATATTGACTAGCATGACTTGAAGAATTTCTGTATGCCAGGCACTGTGGTCTCAATGCTTTATGTGCACCATCTTGTTTAATTTCCAGTAACTTAACTGCTGAAGTATCTGAGCTCCAAGAAATGAGATCACTGATCAAAGATAATGCAGCGGATAGAGATGAGATTTTATTTGTGTAAGATTAAGTGTGACCAAAGAGTCTTGTGCTGTTTCTGTGATTTACTAGTGCCTGCCTCTTTACCATCCACCTGTTCTCCCTTCTTGCAGCTGGCAGGGAAATTGTCCTCTTCTCCAAGATGTACAGAACCAAAGTGGGCTTGAAGGACCGCCAGCAGCTCTACAAGCTGATCATTAGCCAGCTGCTCTATGATGGCTATATCAGCATTGCTAATGGCCTCATCAATGAAATCAAGCCTCAGTCTGTTTGTGCACCCTCGGAGCAGCTCTTGCATCTCATCAAACTAGGTAGCTTGTGAGTGCAAATTCATAGATCCCATTGTGAGGTTTTAGATTTTTTCATGCAGCAGAATTTTGCAGATCAAAATAATCTAGTTTAGTGCCACGTATAGTGCTTGGATATTGAAGGAGTAAGTGACATCCAGATGATGGAGACCTTAAGCTGGTTCTAGCTTCAGGGTCTATATATGCATTATGTGGATCACTCCATAATTGTATTACTGACTTCCTTCGGATTTTAGCTCAAATGGTCTCTCAGAGTCCTTCTCAATTCTTATAAAATAATCCTACTCTCTTTCCCACACTTCCCCAGTTACTCTGTTATCGTGATTCCATTTCCCTGGTAATAGAATTACTCTGAAATTTCCGTCATGGCTTGGATTGTTTCCCACACAGTCATCAGCTTTCCATTTCACACCTCCCCAGAAAAGACCAAAAGCTCAATAAAGATGAGGTTCTTTTCTTCTTTAACAGTATTTCCTAGTGCCTACCTGGCTAATAATAGAAAATAGTAAAATACTGAATTAGGAAAAACATTTAGACTTTGACTTGGCAATGCCAATTGTGAGAATTGATTCTGAAATAAAATGGATATACAAGCCCAAAATAGGTGATTAGCTATAAATTTCTCATTATTCATAAAATTGAATGATACAATGATACAAGTGAATATTTATTAACCTGGACAGATTTTTATTCTGTATAATTAAATGAACAAGTAAGTCATAACATGTCACACAGTGTGGGTCTATTTTTTGGAAAAATAAAACTTCGCATAGGAAAAAGTCCAGAAGAATTCAACCCTGAGTTTTTAATAATTATCACTGGTTGTTAAAATTTGAGGTTGTTTTTATTTTCTTATTCATCTATAGTTCTAGTTTTTACTGTACCAGTCAATATATTTTCTATATAGTGTTTGAGGTTATTTTTAAATTTAAAATGCATATTTTTTATAAACTTTATTTAAATGTCAGTATTCTTTCAGAAACATTTTACTAAATTTAATATTAACATAGCTGAATTAATGAGTTTCAAAGCTGCTGCTAACAGCTCTCAGCCCTAAAAATATTAAAAGTTGGAATGGGAAAAAATGGATAATTTAAAGAAAGGGAAGCGTTGAGTTTCTATAGTTGTAGTTAAAGTAATAAACTGTGGAGGCAGGAACCTGGGGAAACGATTGTCTGATGAAACCTAACCTTCCACCAACCCAGGTCGCCTCACAATGTTGGGAGCCTTGAATCAAACAGGCAGTATAAATAATTTTTTAAAGCATTAGGTGTCATGCAACTCTGAGAAATAGTAAATTGACATGGATGAACTTCTTTCCAATTTGGATCCAGAACTTTGTCTTTGCCTTTTATAAAAACATTTTTGATGCCTGCCCTTTTCCTTTCTTTTCAGGAATGGAAAATGACGACACTGCAGTTCAGTATGCCATCGGCCGTTCAGACACAGTTGCCCCAGGCACAGGGATTGACCTGGAATTCGATGCAGATGTTCAGACTATGTCCCCAGAGGCTTCTGAGTATGAAACATGCTATGTCACATCCCATAAAGGACCGTGCCGTGTAGCTACATACAGTAGAGATGGACAGTTGATAGCTACTGGGTCTGCTGATGCTTCCATAAAGATACTTGACACAGAGAGAATGTTGGCCAAAAGCGCCATGCCAATAGAGGTAAAGATCTCAGCAACATGCTCACGGTTTGCCTTTTGTTAATTGTGGGGAGAACAAGAGCACAGTTTAAATAAGCTTTAGTTTGCCATGGTTGTGGATTATGTACTTTAATTCAGACAGATTTAATACTTTCAATATCTCTTATTGGTCTAGGTCATGATGAATGAGACTGCACAACAGAATATGGAAAATCACCCAGTGATTCGAACTCTCTACGACCATGTGGATGAAGTCACGTGTCTCGCTTTCCACCCAACAGAACAGATCCTGGCTTCTGGCTCAAGGGATTATACTCTTAAATTATTTGACTATTCCAAACCATCTGCAAAAAGAGCCTTCAAATACATTCAGGTTAGGAGTCTTTGGAAAGAAACTTTTCATTTTTTCTTAAATACAGTGAGGTGTTATGTGACTATTCTCTTTTAAAAAGTAGTCTCAGTGGGGCGGCAGTGCTCATAGCTTAGTGGGTGGGGCGCTGGCCACATACTCTTGAGGCTAGCGGGTTCAAACTTGGCCAGGCCAGCTAAAAACAAGAATGACAACTGCAACAACAAGAAAAGTAGCCAGGCATGGGGCAGACACCTGTAGACTTCCCTACTTGGAAGGCTGAGGCAAGAGAATTGCTTAAGCCCACAGAGTTTGAGGTTGCTGTGAGCTGTGACACAACGGCACTCAACCGAGGGCAACGTAATAAGACTCTGTCTCAAAAAAAAAAAAAAAAAAAAAAAAAATAGTAGTTTCAGTGACCATCCTATAAAACAAGGTGCAGAAATACAGATAGAATGAACAATATTTGATAGCACAACAAAGTGATTATAATCAACAGTAAGTTAGGGCACACTTTAAAATAACTAAAAGAATGAAATTTGAATGTTCCTAACAAAAAATGTTAAATGCCTGAGGTGATAGATTCCTCAATTACCCTGATTTGATTAATCCACATTGTATGCCTATATCAAAACATCTCATATGCTCTAACCTAATCTGTTGCATACCCATAATAATTAAAAACTTTAAAAAAAAGAAAAAGTACAGTAAGCAAGATGCATGCTGGATGGCATGGGAATCAGATTTTATTGGCATATATACTTAACATGCTGTTACCTGCCTGCTTTCTGTGGCCAGGAAAGACTGCGTTGGGTCACAGTTTGTGTCACAAGAGTTGGGAATTCATAACACTTTTTAAAGATTGCAGATCTCTATTAAAAAACAAAACAACCAACTTCACTAAAGCATAACCTATAGGAAGCAAAAAAACTTATTTTAAATTATGAAGTCTTTACTGGAAGAGTGAAATTTAGTGCCCCAGTTTCAATATGCAATGCAGAAAGATTAGCGTTTTAGTGGTGGCTTCCAACTTTCAGTAGGTAAGCCTCAATGTTTGCAGCCTTGGAGCAAGTTAAAGAAGCTAGTCTTACATTCAAATTGTGTTTATCTTCCCTCAGTAACTACATGAATATGCCATAGGTTGATAACATTCCATTCTCTGTTCACTCAAGTGTTCATTTCCAAATAATGTAGCTCACTTTTGTAGTTTTTGGAATCTAACCAGTAAATATATAATTTTGGAAATATCAGTTCAAAAGATACTTTTACATATTTCACATTTTATTCCTTCTGATATCTATGTGATATCTGATAATTGCTTTATAGATTCTTGACATCAGCCAGACACTTTGCACTTTTCCTGTGCATTTCTTTCATTGTTCACTAGTTGGTTATTTAGGTTAATGTCTTTGTCCCAACAGGAAGCTGAGATGTTACGCTCCATCTCTTTTCATCCTTCTGGAGACTTTATACTTGTTGGAACTCAGCATCCGACTCTTCGCCTTTATGATATCAACACCTTTCAGTGTTTCGTCTCTTGCAATCCTCAAGATCAACACACTGATGCCATATGTTCCGTTAATTACAATCCTAGTGCCAATATGTATGTAACTGGTAGCAAGGATGGCTGCATCAAATTATGGGATGGTGTTTCAAATCGATGCATCACAACCTTTGAGAAGGCACATGATGGTGCTGAAGTTTGTTCTGCCATTTTTTCCAAAAATTCTAAATATATTCTTTCAAGTGGAAAAGACTCTGTAGCAAAACTTTGGGAAATATCTACAGGAAGAACACTGGTCAGATATACAGGTATGTGAGAGATTGATACTATTTAATATATCTATAGAATTTTAGTTTTCAAAACTCTTTTAGGTCATCACAAGGGAGCAACACAATAAATTAGTGCATTGAGCAAGGCAGATGTCCCTCTTCTAAATACGAGGAAACTGAGGCACAGAGGTGAATAATTTAATCAAGGCTACAGTCTGTTAGAGGCAGAGCTGGAAGTGAAACCAGGTTTCTTAATTTTGCTTTTTCCCAGTACGTCACTCCTGAGACTAGGTTGGATTCCAGGAAGTAACATTTGAGAACCCTGGTTCCCTGATAGACAGATGGCCTGCCCAGCTTCCCAGGAGAATGTGAAAGCAATCTAGAGAAAAGCCTCCGTTAGTGGATCTCAGTATTCTGTACATTAGGAAAAGAAGGGCTAGGGGTCTTTTTATAACGAGATCTATTTAAATTTATCCTGTCACTAGTAGGGTTCAAGTTTGGTTATTTGATAGTGTTGTTAAAATATTGTGAATTATTCTTCTGTTCCTTGTAGCAGTGAAGACCAGAAAATTTCCACTGGTTTCCTCTGTTAATGAGATATGTTTGTGTCACATACTAAAGTCACTATGACCCTGCTGTGTTAAGAAGTTAACATCTTAAAGAAGAGTTGGTGACATTTGGCCACTAGGGTGCAGCATAACCTGCCTTAGATTTGTCTATTACAATCAATGTTTTCCTGCTGTCTTTCTGGCTTCTGCTATGTGTAATACAATTGTTTTTATTATAATTCTTTGCAACTTCATTGACACACTTTATGTGAATTTATTTTGATAAAAGCCGTGTGCTTGCTGCAAACAAAAGATAAAAAGCATGTGAAAGCATCCTCTCCTTCAGAAATAGTAATCACTATTTTAAGGAGGGCGCCGTATCTGGACAGATGTCAGGCTGCTGACGAGAGCTCGTTGTATTTGTTTTATGAATGTTTTATAGTAGTGAAATTGATTGCCTTGTTTTAGTGGAGAGTTACAATTTGGTTTTTCAAAAACAGGATTGTATTGAATTTATGTGCCAATTCTTTTCTGTTCACAGGTCAACACCCTGTCATGTTAGCACATTACAATTTGTTTAAAGTTTTAATATTTAGTTAGAATTCAAAAGGTTCTTGAAAAAAAAACTATCAAGAAAACATAAGAAATTTTGATGCTAAAAATTAATTTTAAATGCTATAAGTAAAATGTTAGCATATATACATACGTATGTTAGACATTGGGTTAATATTCTTAATTAAGAGACCTTTAAATATGAAAAAGATGAGCCCAAATTTCACAGAAAAAGAGCCAAAAACCATGAAGCCATTTTATAAGAGAAAAATGATCAATAAATACAAGATGGCCAACCTAAGAAATGGAAAATGAGATTATCTTTTTGTTTTGAGACAGTCTCAAGCTGTCATCACCTTGGGTAGACAGAGTGCCATAGCATCATAGCTCACAGCAACCTCCAACTCAGGCTGAAGTGTCCTGTTGCCTCAATTTTTCTATTTTTAGTAGAGATGGGGGGTCTGACTTCTGCTCAGGCTGGTCTTGGGAGCTCAAGGTATCCACCCACCTCAGCCTCCCAGAGTGCTGGGATTATAGGCGTGAGCCACCTCGTCCAGCCAGGATTATCTTTTTCAGATTTCAGAAGTTTAAAAACTAATATTTAATATTAAGAAGGATTTGAAGAAATCAGCATTTTATTAGTAGGAGGGTCAGCTGGTTAAAATGTATTTTTTGATCTCAGACATTCAACCTAAAGGTAATTGGACAAGCATGCACTTAACACACATCAAAAGATGTCTGTCACAAAATCATTTGGAGTAGTTGAGAGTTAGAAACATAAGTGTTCCTCAAGAAATATTGAATAAGTCTTGTTATACAACCATTGACAGTGTGCAACCTTTAAAAATAAGTATTCATGGGGCAGTGCTTGTGGCTCAAAGGGGTGGGGTGCCAGCCCCATATGCTGGAGGTGGCGGGTTCAAACCCAGCCCCGGCCAAAAACTGCAAAAAAAAAAAAGTACTCATGGCCAAGCACAGTGGCTCATGCCTGTAATCCTCACACTCTAGGAGGCCGAGGTGGGAGGATCACTTGACCTCAGGAGTTCAAGACCAGCCTGAGCAAGAGCAAGACCTATCTCTACAAAAAAAAAATAGAAAAACTAGCCCGACGTAGTGGTGGACGCCTGTAGTCCCAGCTACTCAGGGAGGCTGAGGGAGGATGATCACTTGAGCCCAAGAATTTGAGGTTGCTGTAAGCGAGGCTGCCACTGCAGTCTAGCCTGGGCAATAGAGAAACTCTGTTTCAAAAGTAAAAATACTCAGGGTATTATTTGTTAATAAGCATTTAGATTGCACAGCTCCTTGTGCATTACTTCACTTTAAACTTCACGTGAACCTCATAAGTTAAGTGCTGTAATTATCCCCATTGTACAGATGAGAAGGCTTAGGGGTGTTAAATAATTAGCGCAGTACATACTCTTAAATGAAAGCAGCATGTTATGTATGGTCTGACGTAAAGAATTTACAAATGAATGTGCCAGCACACATATACTTGGAAAAGGGGGTCAGTAAAATATTGACATTGTTACCTCTGGGTGGTAGAAATATCAGGCAGTTTTTATTTTCTTTTTTATATGGTACTTTAAGTATAAAATATGTATTCATAGTCATAAAAGAATACAGCTTTCTTTTGGAAAGCAGGTGTCCCTATAGTCCCAGTAATTCTATTTCAAGGAATTTAATCCTAAGGAAAAAAGCTTTCTATACAAAGGATGTTTATCACAACATTACTTAGAATTGATACAAACTAAATATCTTGCAGTAAAAGAAGTAATAGTGCTTATAAACATGAGATACACTGCGTTTAGTAAAAACATGGAAAAACGTACCTGACATAAAGTGAAACTTACAGTAGAAAAATATTCTACCTTATGTGGCACTAGTTTCCTGTATAGTTTTATGCCTAGACATACCTCAGAACTCCATGGGTATTAATAGGCCTCAGGTTATGGTCTAGAGATGATTTTCTTTTTCATAATATCGCTTTAACAGTTTTTAGATGACCTTTTTCCACTGACTGCTAGAACATTCTGAGGGTCTGCAATGTGAACTTAGAAAAATGTCCCTCCCGCAGTCCACAGCCCCCTTTAACTCTTGGTTTCCGTGGCAGGCGCAGGTTTGAGTGGCCGGCAGGTGCACCGGACCCAGGCGGTATTCAACCACACAGAGGACTACGTGCTCCTCCCTGATGAAAGGACGATCAGTCTCTGCTGCTGGGACTCAAGGACAGCAGAGCGAAGGAACCTGCTCTCCCTGGGGCACAACAACATCGTGCGCTGCATCGTGCACTCCCCCACCAACCCCGGCTTCATGACCTGCAGTGACGACTTCAGGGCCAGGTTCTGGTACCGGAGGTCAACCACCGACTGAACCGCCCGCACAGCTCCCCCCATGACTGCCCTCCCCCGTGTCCGGTCACCAGCCTCAGTCATCAGTCAGTGTACCATCTTTGGCAGTTGAGCTGCCCCTGTCTACATCCTTCTTGGATTTGTACAAAAGAATCTTTTTTTACCTTGATGTAGAATCATGGTGGAAAAAGTTGGGAACGCAGATGTGTGCAGTTGTTCTCCATTCACTGATTATTACAGTGTGATTTTCATCGGTTTTGTAAATACAGGACTCTCTGTTTCTTTGGACTCTCTTGATTGTTTGAAGGATAGATTATTAAAGCGCTTTCGTCATGAGGAATTCTCCTTTGGTTCTTTGTCAGCTTTCAAGCCTGTTCTGTTACGCCCTCTTTGTACTTCCTTTCCAGACATGTTTTGGCAGAAGAGGAGGCATGCAGCTGTGAGAATCTAGGATTTTGTGTCATATCAAAACCATTTTAGAGAATCTCTGGATTCTGTCCTAAAATGATGCTTATTTCAATAATCTACAGATCTACAACTTTAGTGTTAGATATTTTTCACACTAATAAAATTAATGGTTAGTTTTTCCTGAAACTTTACAGGAGTGTACCTTTCATCACACCTCCCACACTATACCTTTAATACCTGCAATGCTTATCTTTAGTAGTAAACATATTTCTCATAAGATTGTTGCAGTTTGATGGGAAAAGATTGAAAAATTACCCAAGCTAATCCAGTTAGGTTGTCACCATTGCTCTCAGGTGTCACTCATCCCCACAAGTGATTAATACTGATTTTATTCTTCTGTGGCTTTAAATCTTCGTGTCTTTCAACTTGAACCGTAACTTCTCATTGAGGATGCATGTGGTAAATGCATTCTCAGAAGATTCATGCAATTCACCAGGTGATCCCAGTTTTCTTTTGCTTGAAACTTTATAGGAGATGACAGCATTTCTCTGGATTAGAGTTCTCTGAGCTCCCCCTACACAAACTTTGTGTTATATTTAACCCCCCAAAATGCCTCACAGTTTGAGTAGGAATACCTAGAAATATAATCTGGGATCATTGGATAAACATAGTGAATATGAAAGTAAAAGTAATTGCTTTACATTATGGGAACTTCTTAAAGTTACTGCATAAAAATTCTGCTTCAGCCATGCTGGAGGATCATTTTAACTCCTTGGTCTCTAAAGCCATTGTAAGCGTCCTCACCATAGTAAGTCACAGGGCTTTCGGTCCATAGTGACTTAACTTTACCATTTTATTTTGTGTCCTGACTCCCAATATTTGAACTTGTAACATTAAAGGAAACCTACTGAATAGGAAGGAGGGCAACCAATGCTACCAAAAATATTACCAACCAAACCCCACTTCTTTTTTTGACTTTCCTTTTGCTTTCGACCTATGAAGCTAAAGCAGAGAGTTAACATTTCTGTGCTACTCTGCTGTAGCTCGTTCTTAAATGTCCACAGGGCACTGCTGCTACAAGTTCCATTGGAGCTTTTCAGTTAATGAATTAAAATCTACTTTTTACAGTTTAGAATACTCTTCAGCAATGGATCTGTAGTTTCAGGACATAACGTTTACAAAACCAAAATACTTCTGAGTGTTTCCAAAATAGTTTTTTGGGTTTTTTTTTTTTTTTTCCTTTTAAATTCACAGTGTTTTGAACTGGTATGAATGCCGGGGAATGTCACCTGGACTTGGTCTCCACACCTCATTAATTGTACTGTGCAACACCTTGGCATTCACATGATAGATAATATCTGGCAGGAAAAGAACTTACACCTTCTATTTTTTTAAGATAAGTGATTTCTGAAATAAAATTTTTGTACAATGAAAATTTAAAGTGAGTTTTTTGGGGTTTCTTTTTTTTTTTTTTTTTTTGAGCTTCCTTTGAACGTCTCCCATGTTTGACTACAGTTCTCAAGTGGCGATTTTGACTTGGTATTTTTCACACTGTTTCTTTAGTTCTTTCTTCTAGAAGGCAATTTTTGTAGCTGAATCACCCTTAGCTCTGTGTCTTTGTTCACCTCTATGAATTGAAAGAACTTGAGTTTAAATCCATTTCTTTGGATTATTCATAGAAAGGTATCTTTTGCCTTAAATTTTGGTTTTCCTTAGGAAGAGCAATGGGGGGGGGGCAGTCTCAGTTCTGTTACTAACTTGCTAAGTAGCAAAGCATTTTTCTTCTAGGCTACAGATGTCCTTTTCTGTAATTAAAGGGCTTGCTTAATGAGGCCAGGGGCAGCAGCTCACACCTATAATCCCAGCACTTTCGAGATGCTGAGGTGGGAGGATCATTTAAAGCCCGGAGTTTGAGACCAGCCTGAGTAATATAGTGAAACTCTATTTCTACCCAAAAAAAAAAAAAAAAAAGTGAAAATTAGCTGTGTACAGTGGTACATTCCTATAGTTCTAGTTATTTGGGAGGCTGAGGCAAGAGGATCACTTAAGTGATTACAGTGAGCTGTGATCATGCCACAGCACTCCTATTCCATCCTGGGTGACAGCAAGACCCTGTTTCTTAGGGGAAATAAAAAATAAGGGCTTAATCAAAACAATCAACACGCACTTCAACCGGTGAAGTTCTTTTTTTTAAACAATGCATCATGATATAAACGGGAGGGAGGAGGGAATTTGCTTCTAGTAGTGAGATTCCTGTTTCCAAAAATAAGACAGCATCAAATCACTGGATTTCACAAACTACAATGTGAGAAGCACAGTAGAAGATGCTTTCAACAAAGGTGAACGTGGGCCAAACGGGGAAAATGAAGAAAAGCAGGACAGTGAAGGCGGGGACACCTTTGATCTTATTGGAGAGGATGGAGAAGCAGAAACAGCAACATGGATTCTCCTGGGAAAAGTGTTTTAAGAGAAGACCGCACGTGGAAAATACAGGGTGGTGGAAGAAGATAAAGTTGCCTAAGAACGTGTCTAAGTCAATGGATTGCTTTTCAGTGAGCAAGCGGCTTTAGTGGTTGGGGGAGGAGCCTACTTTTTAAAAAGAGGACATTTTTATTTATAAAGTTCTCTTACCATTTGTGAAATCTGCTGAGCCGTTTTAAGGACATTGAGATCTATATGGAGAGACACTTCCCTCAGCCTGGGAATCTGTGCTCCTTGTGACACGGTGAGGGCGGCAGCGTGAGCACACTTTTGCCCGTGAGAATGTGTGTGGAATGAACCACGCCCAGAGAGGATTTTAATGACTTGCCTGCTGTTTCCCGCACAAACTACCTCACAAGTCATTGTAACATAAGCTAGCCTTATTGTTAAAAAAAAAAAAAAAAGATTACCTCACTAGAATCTCCCTAACTTGGTTCTCTTGAACTCTTAACTATTTCAACTTGCAGACAGCCGGATATTACGAAAACAACCAATTTCCTAGAATAAAATGCTCTCGCAATGTTTGTGCATAGGAGAGACCCATTTGCCTTAAGATGCAAATGGGTTGCAGCAAAATGTCTCATTTTTCATTCATAAAACCTGTAGAGGCTCAAATACCAGACTGAGAAATCAAGCCCCTTATCTGCTGAATACTGTACTGTGCTTCCCTACAGGGCAAGTGCACCTAAGTTCAGAGCCAAGGCCACTGACGTCTGCATCTTATATTTGCTTTCTGGTCTAGGTTGTTATCCCTAGAAAAAAAGTCCTGCCAACCATAGCTTTGCGATCTGTATGATGAACTTCAGGCAAGCCCTTCAGTATGGGGAAGGAGTTTGCCAAGGTGATGGGAAACATCCAAACTCGAGTTGCTGTGTGGGAAGAGTCTTTCCTTTCCAAGAGGCTTGGGTTGAAATTCTACTTCTGTGTAACCTTGAGCAAGTTTGCTCATCCTTCCTTTCTGTTTTTCATTATAGACAATTTCAAGTGTACACAGAAGTCACTGATACAATAGAAACTTGTCTGGAGCTGGGGGATGAGGGGGAGGGTGAGCATCTGCTAATGGGTGTGGGGCTCCTTTGGGGGGTAACAAAAATGTTCTGAATTAGATAGTGGTGATGGTTATGCAACTCTGAAAATACCAAAAGCCACTGAATCATAACACTTTAAAAGGGTAAATGTTGTGGTGCCTGAATTATGTTTTAATAAAGCTGGGTTTTTTTTTTTAATCTTTTAAATTTCTGCATACAATGACTCCCAGTGTATCACGCAGACTGCCCAACTTTCAGCTCGCGGCCAATCTTGTTTTCCCTACACCTCCATCCACTTTCCCCTTTCTTGAATTATTTTGAAGTGAAGCTCATTGATGTCATCTGTAAATATTTCAGTATATATCTCTGAAATCTAAGGACTCTTGAAAACACGCTATCATTAGCCCTGCAAAGGTGGTGGTTAATTACTGAGTCAGTGTTCGAATTTCCTTGGAAATGATTTGTTTGCTCCGAATTAGGATCCAAATAAGGCCTATACATCGTGGTTTGATGTGTTTTAAATGTCTCCTCACCTATTTTTGTTGTTATTTGTGTGGGTTTTGTTTTGTTTGTTTTGTGACAGGGTCTTGCTCTGTTGCCTGGGCTACAATGCTGTGGCATCATCATAGCTCACTGTGACCTCAAACTCCTGTACTCAAGTGCTCCTCCTGCCTCAATAACTGGGACTACAGACACACCCCCCCAGGCCCAGCTGATTTTCTGTATCTTGTAGGGATGAGGTCTCACTATGTTGCTCAGGCTGATCTTAAACTCCTGGCCTCAAGTTATCCTCCTGCCTCAGCCTCCCAAAGTGCTAGGATTACAGGTGTGAACCACTGCACCCAGCCCCCTTTCATATTTAAAGTCTACCTCTTGGCTCGGCGCCTATAGCTCAACCAGCTAAGGCGCCAGCCACATACACCTAAGGTGGTGGGTTCGAATCCCCAGCATGGACCCGTCAAACAACAATGACGGCTGCAACCAAAAAATAGCCGGGCGTTGTGGCGGGCGCCTGTGGTCCCAGCTACTTGGGAGGCGGGCCCAGGAGTTGGAGGTTGCTGTGAGCAGTGAAGCCATAGCACTTTACCCAGGGGGACAGCTTGAGGCTCTGTCTCAAAAAAAAAAAAAAATTCTACCTCTTTCTTCCCCTTTGAAGCTTATTTGTTAAAGAAACTAGGTTGCTTTTTTTTTTTTTTTACCAAATTAAAACTCTCCCTCTCTCTCCTTACCTCCCCCTCTCAGTTCCTCATCAGTAAAATGGAAATAGTAGCTACCTTTTAAGGCTGTTGTTTGGCTTAAAAAGTCAGTATCTGCAACATGGTTAGAACAGTGCCTGGTACATAGGAAATGTACTTGGTGAATAAGACCTGTTTTCAGGGTGCAGAAACCCTGCCTTTGAAGTGAATGGTGAACCTGGAGATTACTCTTCAAGCCCCACTAACTCCTAGTCCTTCCACTCTCTGGGTTCCGTCCTCCTCCCTGCCGCGTCTGTCTGTGTATGGGTGTCACTCTGGCAGACACTCTGTACACCGAGGCAGAGCTGTCTGCTAAGGGATCCACCTGCCCCAGGTTGACCTTCTCCACCTGACCATCTCCACCAGGCAGAAGAACCTAGTGTACCCAGCCCAGAGTTACTGCTTTCCCATCACATGGAAGCCAGTCACCAGGTCTGAGATTCAGGCGTGTAGACCAGCCAAACGATTGGCTTTAACACTTTCACCTGATGCCAAAAGAACTTTTTCCACAAGAAAGGGAAAGGAATGCTGATGGGGCAAGAATGGAGGACTTCTGTAACTCACCGGCACCGTTATAACTCAGCAAAACTGTTGGTATTTTGTATATGCTGCTTGGTAAACAACTTAGAACCAAAATTCATTCATTTATTCAAAAATAATTTTGGATGACCATGTGCCCAGCACAGCTCTGAATGCTGGAGAAATAGAGACCCACCCAGACAAAGTCCCCACTCAGAGAGCTTCACATAGAGAGCTGCTCATTATACAATAGTTTCTGGGCCCATTAAAACAAGAAGAAAAAAAAAGTATGTTCCACAGGCCTTTTCTTTTTTTTTTTCCGTAGTTCTCAGCCGGGGCTGAGGTTTGAACCCACCACCTCCTGCATATGGGGCCAGGGCCCTACTCCTTGAGCCACAGGCACCACCCTCCATGGGCCTTTTCTATGGGGTTGAAAAACCTGAAGAGCCCTTCTTCTGCCCCAGTCATTCTAAAGTATCCTGTTCTTCCTTGCGAACCTTGCCCTGCTGTTCTGATCTAAGCTCTTATTTTCTGCTGTCTTCCTTGTATTTCCCCAATAAGTGATGAATTTTTGTTTTCACATTATTTTCATCTTAAATTCTGTGATTTCTAGGGATGTTAGCCAGATTTCTAGACTTTGTTCTGACCCCCAAGGGTAAGGGATATTGATTCTCATTTTAGAAAAGAATGAAGTGGAGGAAATGAATATGTGGGTTGGCCTCTGCCCTGTTTAAAATTGTGTTCTTCGGGGCATATAAAACTGGAAGCGTGGAACTCAGTTCTAACAGAGCCCCACTGGCAACCCGACTTGGTTGTACTGTGCTCTTCATCTGCGATACCACATCACTCGTGCCCCCAACACAGAGGAAATAGTAGAGTTAGGAGATGGCAGAGTGAAGAGACACACTCAGGGAAAGGGCTGGACTCAAACCTGGCCACCGGGAAGCCATCTGTCTACTTTGTAGTGGGCTGATGAGTATCACTAGCTACGTGCATTACAGCAGTGCTGTTTGGACGATGTGTATATCTGTAAAGACTGTAGAATAAACAGCCCAAGCAAGAGCAAGACCCCAGTCTCTATTTAAAGTAGTAGAAATTAACCAGGCATGGTGGCATGCACCTATAGTCACGGCTACTTGGGAGGCTGAGACAAGAGGATCACTTGAGCCTGGGAGTTTGAGGTTGCTGGGAACTGTGATGACGCCACCGCACTGCAGCCTGAGCAACAGAGCCAGGGCCTATCTCAGAAAAAAAATGGAAAAAAAAAAGGATTAAAGGCTCACACCTGTAATCCTAGCACTCAGGAGGTCAAGGCTGACTTCGAGGTGGATTGCCTGAGCTCAGGATTTCAAGACCAGCCTGACCCAGAGCAAGACCTTGTCTCTAAAAAATAGCTGGGCATGGCTTGGCGGCTGTAGCTTAGTGGCTAGGGAGCCAGCCACATACACCCAAGCTAGTGAGTTCAAACCCAGCCCAAGCCTGCCAAACAATGACAGCTCCAGCCAAAAAAATAGCCGGGAGTTGTGGTGGGTGCCTGTAGTCCCAGCTACTTGGGAGGCAGAAGCAAGAGAATGGCTTAGGCCCAAGAGCTTGAGGTTGCTGTGAGCTATGATTGCATGGCACTCTACCCAGGGCAACATAGTGAGACTTTGTCTCAAAAATAAAATAAAAAATAGCCGGACATTGTGGTGGGCACCTGTAGTCCCAGTTACTCAGGAGGCTGAGGCAAAAGAATCACTTAAACTCAAGAGTTTGAGGTTGCTGTGAGCTGTGATGTCACAGCATTCTACCTACGGCAAAAAAGTGAGACTCTGTAAAAAAAAAAAAAAAAGTCCTCTTTGCCTAGGCCAGGTGTCCTCAAACTACGGCCCACAAGCCACGTGCAGCCCACCGAGGACATTTATCCAGCCCGCCGGGTGTTTTTGCCACGGCTGCCTGTCCTGCTTAGCAGCGGACTCATCCCAGGGCCCTAGGTCCGGCCCTCAAACGGTCTGAGGGACAGTGAACTGGCCCCCTGTTTAAAAAGTTTGAGGACCCCTGGCCTAGGCCATCACTCCCAGCTCAGCCACAGTGATCCATTTATCTTCCCTCCGCACCTGCTTTACCAACTTGCTAATGTCCGTCCACACCCTGTTTTCCTTACCTGTTCTTGATGTCACAGCCAGGAGCAAGTTCTGCCCATGTGTGGCCCTGTCTCTGCCTCTTTCACATCTTGCCTCCCCCATGAAGCGATCCAGTGACTTCCCCGTCTCCCATCTCTGTCCCCCTCCCTGTGCATGTCCACTTTGTTGCTAAGTCAGTTTGTGTTCGTTCTGTGGAGTCCCTCCCTCCCACCCCTGTTGTCTGCTGCCACCGCAGCACATCAACCTCTTGGCCCTCCAAGTTAATTTCCAGCAATGACATCCTTTTACCATAGGGACTACCTCGGCCAGAAATCAGGCAGACATTTCAATCAGCAAATATGTGTTGCAGACCTCGCCTGGGCCAAGACAAGACAATAAATGTAACGGCAAGAAGAGGGCCGTGCAAGGAGACAGAGCCGTTTGGGGGGAAGAACTTGAGCCAGGGTTGGAAGAATTGATTTTGTTTATATGAAATGCAAACTTCACACGGTCTGCTACGCTGTCATTTCTGTCTGTAGGAAACAAAGAGTCAGCAAGTGATGATGAACTGCGTGGGGGTGGCTTCAGACGCGGGAAGACCGATGGGCTTATCAGATTTCCGGGGGATAATATAAGGGGGGTGCCCAGCGCAGCCCTCGTGCAGAGTGGGCACTGGGACGCTGTTAAGCATTAGGTGCTGGACACAAAGACCAGGGGCGGTGGGGTTCAGAGCAGGGAATGTGTGTAAATGAGAGGAACAGGTGGAGCAGGGATCGTGTCCTTTGAAGCGTTCAGCTTGACTTGTTTTATCCCGGCGGTCACAAGGCAGTGTTGAGGAGCAGGAAGGAAGAAGGGCTGACCGCTGCCAGAAATCCAGCCCAGGGCCTCCCGTCAGGGAAATGTGCCTGGTGGGTTCAGTGGGTGTCGTTCCACGGTGTTTAAGGGACCAGAATGCTGTGTCCGTGCACAGAGCTCTTCAGAGTAGGAACTTCCCCCTAAAGCAGAAGAGCAGTTTTTTTCTTCTCCTTTTGTGGTTTCACACAGCGAATGAGTGACAATCTCCAGGACAGACAAAGTGAGACGTCAGGCTCTGAGGAGTGCGCGGCCTGTATTTCTGGTTCCCTCCTCCCTCGCCCCTCTCATTGTACCCTTATCGCGCTTCCCAGAAAGTTTGCCAGCTGGGAGAATCTTTTTGACAATTTCCCATGTGTTGTCAGATAGCTCCATAGAACTCAGTTTCTGGGAAGCGTCCAGAAGCATGCAGTGACATTGCATAATCCTCCTCTGAAGCTTCAGATACTGGCGGTGGAGCTCAGAGGAGCCTTCTCACAGCGCCTGCCTGCCGTCATGAAAGGAACAGGAGTCACCGATGGTGCCCCCAAGGTGAGTGGCAGGGGCTGCTCAAATGGGGAGGGAGGAAGAGGGGAGCAACCGTGCCGGGTAAGGACAGCAGCCGGTTTTAGTTCTGACTTTCTGTGCATTTCACTCAGGGTGAATGCTAGTGATGGGAGTTCGAGGCTGCCAAGTTTAAGTGTGAGGAATACACGTTCTGTGATGCTTCTTACCAGCTTGAGTTTGAGATGGGTGAACACAACTTTGTAGTAGAAATCAGCTCACATGGTTGACAGGACAACCCATCCCTTTGTGTCCATTTATTGCCCAACAAACTTTGTAAGCCAGATGTGCATCTCTGCCCTAGCCCTCCCGGATCTCTTCTTTCTCTGGACCCTGGAGATACTCGTGCTGTTTCCAACTATCCTGATGGATTTCTGTGCTGGCTTTGCAACAGCAGGGCCCAGATCCCAGCTGCAGCCTCTCATGCTGAGTCCCCAGTAAGCTCTCTGGGTGCTGTTGTCACATTAACCTGTATATTGTGTGAGTGAAGCTGGAATTTTCTTACAGGTGTCAAGTCTGTGCTGTGAATCAAAAGGATTCACTATTTAGAAACCGTAAATGGCCTCTATATGCAAAAAATGTCCTCAGACACAAAGAGAGTGAAGATCAGGTTGATGTGTTTCAATCTTGCTATCCTATTTAAACATGTTAAGCAGAACAGGGAAAAAATGAAACAATTACTGAATGGGGAGCCTGCTAACAGAATTAAATGTCATTATTGTAATAATAATAAATGTCGCTAGTGGAGTATATGCCTGAGTGACCTGGGATAGCCTCTCTTACACAGGTTATGTGTAAATATCTTTGCTACTAGAATCTTGTCTCCAACTATTTACTTTGAAAATGTTCAAACCATTGGAAAAATTGAAAAAAAAAAATTCAGTAAACTCCTGCAGATCCTTCCCCTACTCTGCTTCCTGCCACTTCATTGTGTTTTTGTTCACCTATTGCTATGTGGGTAGACACAGGAACACCCTTTGCTTTTACTGTTGTTAAACCATTTGAAAATAAAGGGCAGGAGGCCGGGCATGGTGGCTTACGCCTGTAATCGAGCACTCTGGGGTGCTGAGGCAGGTGGATTGGCCTGAGTTCAGGAGTTTGAGACCAGCCTGAGCCAGGGTGAGACCATGTGTCTACAAAAAAAGAAAAAAACCCAGGCATTGTGGCGGGTGCCTGTAGTCCCAGCTACTTGGGAGGCTGAGGCAAGAGAATCACTTAAACCCAAGAGTTGGAGGTTGCTGTGAGCTGTGATGCCACAGTGCTCTACCGAGGGCCACAAAAAAAAAAAAAAGAAAAGAAAAGAAAAGGCAGGTATAATGACACTTCACCCCTAAATACTCCCCTCCTGTGTCTCCTGAGACCACAGACACTGTCCTCCAGAGCCACGCATCTATACTAGGCCCGAGAACATCTGGCATTGATTTAACAATCCCATTCTAATATTAGTCCACATTCACATTTCCCCAAAGCATTCTTTTTGTAGCTTGGGGGGTGTTGTTATTTGTTTCTGTGTTTCTTTGCTTTTCTGATCCAGAATTCATTCCAGGATTGCACGGGGTTTGTCAGGGCTCAGTTGTCCTTCATTCATCTAGAAACAAATCCTTTCTTTGTTTCGTAAACTTTTTTCTGAGTAGCCTAGATTTAGACTTCTTTTTAGACTTGTTCTGCCTGAATGATCTAGATGATCTAGACAGCACTTTACAGTTTGTAAGTAACCTGCCTCCAGGTCTTTACTCTGCTGACACCTGGTTCCATCCACCACCTCCTCGGTGTTGCTGGGCAGGGGGGATGTGGCAGTTCAGATGATGGAGATGCAACCAGATTCAGCCTCAATGAAAGAGTGAATATTCTTTGGTCCTCTCCTCCATCTCAGCCCTGAGTAGAATGTTCTAGACTCACTCAAGGAATATCCAAAGGAAGACATAGAACTTTAAAAAATCTTCCAAATTCTCAAGGTTGCTTTAGATGTGACAGACCGTGGTGACGTCAGATGTGTCTACCGCTTGTGGGGATGTGGCTTGCTTCAGTGTCTCTGGGCAAGAAAGCTCAGTGGGGGGGCCCTTGATGAGTGGGGAGCAGTTTCAGTGCTGGCATTTCAAACCAGTCTTTATAGAAGAAGGGCCAACCAGACCATGGGCAGAAATGTACATGGCCCACACCGGGCTGGATCCCCTCCCACCAGCTCCTCCCTCAGCTCCCTCCCCTTCTCCCCACTATTCCCTGCCTCGAAATGAAATGCTCCTCTTTCATATGGCTGGATCGTGTGGGTCCTCCCCTCAAGCAAGCGTCACCCCACCCAGAGGCCTCTCTGGACCACCCATCCAAGTCCCTGCCCCCACCTCCGCCCCCATCACTTTTGTCATCTGTCTTCCCCTGGGAAGTCAAGGCTGTGCGGGACAGACCTGGGCTCTGTCATTCAGCACTGAGTCTCTTGCATCTGCAGCTGTGCCTGCACATAGTAGGTGCTCAATAAATGCTTTGCAGTAGTGTGTAGATGAATAGGAGGTTACAGGGCACACAGGGAGCCCCCCTGGAGGACAGGAACGGTACTTCCTCATTGCCAAGTATCCAGGAGCAGGTGCCATTCCTGACTCTCAGCCTCCTAACCCCAGCCGGCCCCAGCCTAACCCCCCACTCGCTCCAGACTCTTGAGAGTTGGCCCCTCTTTCTCCCCTGGTCACAGGCTGCCTTAGATTTGAGCTGCTGTAATTGAAATCAAGGTCACAAGAACCTGTGGCCTCCCTGTGACCTGGTCCAGCAACTTCCTCCCTTCACCCATCCCACAAGACAACACAGCCCAGACACAATATCCAACTTGAAAACACAACTCCCAGCACCTTGCACAACCACTCACCCAACACATAGTTACTGGGCTCTGGGGGCTCAGGGTGATCAAGACAGAGCTGACATTCTGGTGGGCATCAGTTCCACAGGAGATGAGCAGATACACACATGACTATGGGTAGCAACAATAACAACTGCCACAAAGAAGATAAAACAGGTGTTCTGATGGAGGCAATGGAGAGAAACAGCTGCTCTGGAGACCCAAGTAATGGGAAAAGCTCCCCAAGCAGAGGGAGCAGCAGGTGCAAAGGCCCTGTGGCAGGAATGGATTCAGCATAGTAGAGCATCTGTGAAAAGGCCAGTGAAGTTGGAGCAGAGTACACAGGGGAAGACAGCAGTCAGAAGAGAGAGCTGAAGTGTAAGCAGGGTCAGCTGGGGGCTGTGTAAGAGCTCTGAAATCATTCTAGTTGCTGACAAAGCCACTGGCCTCCTTAAAACAGGAGAGGCCATGGTCTGATTTTTGTTTCCCACATCAGTCAGGCTGCTGTGCAATGAATGGACTGACCAGAGGTAGAAAAGAGCAGGTGCAGGGAGGTGAGTGCAGAGACTTAAGTGTAGGAGGCTTCTTTCTTCATCTTGGATGGCACCCTCCTGTTCTCAACGGACTTGGAGAGGAAGCATGTGCTTGGCCTTTTGAAAAAAATAAAACCTTTGGTGTTAGAGACTGTTGGGCATGTGTGAGCAGAGGAATAATAAATCAAGGAGTAAATATCCTTTGTCAGAATATTACAGGGGCACACATGTTTTGGTTGCATAATTTGCTTTTGTACATTTGAAGTCAAAGCTTTGTGCCATTAGGTGTGACTTTGCCCACCCCTCCCCCTCCCACCTGTTTCCTATCTATTGAGTTTACTCCCATTGTAAACTCAATGTTTGATTGACCAGTTCCAATTTATGTTCGATTCAGAGGGACAACACACCTTTCATTTCTTTGACAGATAGTAAGTGCCTTCTGCCTTCTGTGTGCTAGGCACTGTTCTGAATGCCACCAAGGACAAGGGTTTGGTCCTTTTTCTCATGATTTAATAAGTTATTATCATGGTTGATAAAAAAAATCCATTACATCAATGCTGCCTATGGGATCAAAATAGAATTTAAAGGCGGGGTACAGTAGCTCACGCTTGTAATCCTAGCTCTCTGGGAGGCCAAGGCAGGAGGATCCCTTGAGCTCAGAAGTTTGAGATCAGCCTGAGCAACAATGAGACACCATCTCTACTAAAAATAGAAAAACTAGCTGGATATCGTGGCAGGTGCCTGTGGTCCCAGCTACTTAAGAGGCTGAGGCAAGAGGATGTCTTGAACCCAGCAGTTTGAGGTTGCTGTGAGCTATGACGACACAGCACTCTACCCATGGAGACAGAAGTGAGACTGTCTAAAGAAAAAAACTATACATATATGTATATATATGTAATTTTAAAAATTTATATTTGTTCCTTTGTTTAATAACTTATATTTCCTGAGCATTTCATTTCCTATAAAGTACACTTAGTAAAAATAAAAAGGACACTGCTGCCGGGCCAAAACTTTAATGTCTGCTAAGAGACTATTTGAAGGACGGCCCCTGGCAGGGGAATAGGGAAGCACCCTTAGAAACACAACACGCTGTGGAATGGCTCCACTGCGATGACTAAGGGAGGAAATGACAAGGGCCTGGAGGGGAAATAACTTAAAAGGAGGAAGGTTGGAGGCTGGTAAGAAAGATGCCGCTGAGGGGGAGATTAGAAGAGTCCACTGTGAGTTGCAAAAAAAGGGAAATGATTGTTTTAGGAACCATTTCCAAACTCATTGCTCACACACCGTTTGTTCAGAAGAAGAGTCTTGTGGACACGCCCATGAGAGGCAGGGTCAGCCGTGGGAACACGTGGGTCCTCCTGCACCCAGGTGGTGCCTCCCAGCTCTGGCACTCCAGGCTCCCGTCACTTAAAGCCCCCAGGACCCGTGTAGACCATTGCAAAGTCATTCAGGACACCTGTGGGCCAGAGAGAGTTTCTGCATGAGCTGATCCATTAGTGAATGTACTGTTCTTTTTCTTTTCTTTTGAAAAAGAGCCTCACTCTGTGACCCTGGGTAGAGTGGTGTCAGCCAAGTGGTGTCATCCTGACTACCCTGGTGTCAGCCTAGCTCACGGCAACTTCAGACTCCTG